GTACTACTTTCTAGAATACGAATCTGAACGAGTACGGACAAAGCGACACGACCGACGTGGACGTGTCGAACTTCGTTGAACACCTGGCAGCTTGGAAACTGAACCGCAGAGGAGTAAGCATCTGTCGGCTCAAGAATTGAATAGGGAATGTGATCGGTAATATGCAGATCGAAGGCGAGACGCTCGTTCACTTGCTGTTGAACAGTAACGACCCGAAAAGTCGCGTCATAGCCAAGATACTGATCCGCGAGTACCGTAATCTGGCGCTGGACATCTACGAAGGCGAGAAGATGTTCGGTAATGTCAACGAAACGTCCAAAATGGCAACTAACGATGCTTAGGTCAGAGCGCCCTTCACCTGGCGATAGTGTACGACGACTACGAGTGCGTTTCGTTGCTGCTCGAGTCGGGGGCCATGCCGACGCAGAGGGCGAAGGGTCGCTTCTTCGCCCCGCTTGACGCCAAAAACAACCAGTCGGAGACCTACGAAGGTACGCTTTGGCACATTGACAATGAGCATCGAATCCTGACACACGATTGCTCCTTAGCTGTTCCTTCGCCAGTCGGTTTTTGAGGTAATCAGAAACTCTGAGAGGAGAGAAGGTGACCATCACTAGCGGCTATTGTCCGGTTGTTAGACAACCAAAGACTGAGATAGCTTATGTGAATGGAACAATTGACACCGTCGTGGCTGTCTATGAATCCAGTGCACTGAACTGGCAAACTGATGAAACACCGTACCATTGGCAGGAACTCACCAGAACGCTGTCATGTGACCAAAAGAAATAACGGACTGTGCAGTTGGTATCAGCTAAAGTTTGTGTTCTGTATTGCGAACTATCTCATAGAACCGTACTAAGTGACAGCGTTATGTCCATGGCTCACTGATTAACATTCAAAACCAGCCGTTTCTCTGGATCACAGTGAAGCAACCTGACAAATTCCTGCTCGTGGTGTTTGCTTCTCACCAATTAGGCAAACTTGAAACATAATAATTCGGTATGCGCAAGCCATCTCTCCTTGATCTGCCTTTTCGCTGCTTGCCATCGGTTATTACAGGCAAAATCTAGACTTTTTCTTAAGGTCAGCCTCAGAGTTATTGAAAGGTCAAATTTCTGATTTTCCAATTTCTCTTATGGCGAAAGTGCGGTCAATAAGCTATGGTGCCGTGTGTTTCAATGATTTCTACAGAATACTTCTGTTCATGTTTGCACTCCCATCTAAGAAACTGACGCGTTGTTTTCGGTAGCATTACACTTCTCAGTCTGACATTGGCACAAGGTCAAGAATCATGATAGTAACATGTCATCCGCCATTCATGAGGCAGACGACTGGATGAAAAGATATCATAATGGTTTCTTCGGGGTCAAATACTTTAACGCTATATATCACAGGTTTCTATTCAGTTTCATTCACCTACGCAGGTTTGCCATAAATGCATACGATGCTCTGTGCTCCTGCTGTCTCAGCCTGTTGGACAAAAGATTTGAGTTCCTGACAGACCTATGGGAGTGCCGTAGTGATTCATCAGTGTATACTGTGTTGTACCTTGCCATGTAATGCGATCCCATAATTTATTCGTAGCTCGCTCTGGTTAGGTTACGAAGAGCAACACAGGCAGCAATGAATTCATCAGTGTCCTCAGCCTTGGTTCCAGCCGGACACAACAGTGCATTGAAGGTGATATGCCTTAGCTTCAATTTCGATACTACTACTTTGTAGGACTTCAATTATCTCAACCCATTTCCGTTGTGCAAATATATGGATAAAGGGTACTGTCCTTGCCAGAAGCTGACTTGAGGTAATGTTGTTGGCAAAACGCCGCTAATATGGGCTAACTTGGTGAGCATGAGAAATATTTGGCCCGTTATCGACGATGTTTCCCTCTCAAGAAAACCACTTGTCTTCAGTTTCCATTCCGATTCCCTCCACTAACAAGATCCAGTTCTTCCTTCCTCGTGACGAAATTCAACGTCACCTTGTTCTTCATGGCATGACGAAGATTGTTTTCCTCTTTATGCAGTTAGTCTGTTAGTAATAGTTAGCCATTTTGTAGTTAAAGTTAGTCGCTTACGCGTCTCGATGTGGTCCGGAGTACAGACTTCTGCGAGAGCCTTGGTGTGCAGCTGCGATAATTTGGATACGTGCTGCAAATTTTTCCAGAAAGGAAGGCGAAGCAACCACCGGCAGAAGGCCCAGGGAACGGCCAAGCTTAACATGGTGCAAATCTATGGAAGGAGTCTGCTTTAGACTTCAGCTGCTTTCTGCCAAAGCTCAGACTCTCTGACAGGATAGGGAACGTTGGAAGCACTGTCTGACGCGTTTGCCTTCACAACCGGGGAGGAGAAACGGTCATCAAAGATAAAGACGAAGAATTTGTCCCTTGGCCAATGTCGCCTTGTCACTCCGTACGTAGGGTTTTATAGACGTAGCTCAGAAGTGCAATTTCTTGTTAGCGACCCCTCTCTTCACTCACCCTTCCTTGCGGTTACAACTTAAAACTTAGTTGTACTCTCAAATGCAGCCGACATTTTCTAGCTGTCAAAAATCACGGTACAGCTTGGGAATGCTGCTAGATATTCGTGATATCGATTGCCTTACCTGAATCCCTTCCATTGGGTACCACACATAAATAATGTGCTGTCTATCAATTTAAACCGTTTCGCTAGCTACAGATTAAAACAAGGCATTAGAGTGGTTTCTGTTTCAGGACTGGCTTATTACGGCGAATACCCTTTAGCGTTTGCTGCGAGTTTTGGCAACAAGGACATCTATGACCTGCTGCTGCAGTATGGAGCTGACCCAAACGCCCAAGACTCGTTTGGAAACACAGTTCTTCACCTCTGCGTCATCAACAACAGCATTGTAAGTAATCTGCGAATTATCGACTTCAATACTTCCAATTGGATGAAACCTAAAACTGAACATAAAATATATAATAAATTATAGGCGTGAATACAGATAAGTTCAATGATGCCATAAACTGGCTTACTTTGAGGATGTTACAGTAAGAAATTTTGAATAAACCAGGTTAGGTTTGAATAGAACGGAAAAGCTGTGCCAATATTACACCTGGCGTAGACATTTCGGTGCAAGACCAAGGTTTCAGCTGACGCTGCCAGCTTTCATGGGCTGCAAACAACGCAGAGGGGTATAGACCTGGAAGATTGTTAAGATTAAACGAGACTTGTTTTTCTATCTTAAGTTTCAGAAAACAACAAGAGCATAGGGTTGCTTGGAAGAAGCTCCTTTTAAAAATTCCCCCTTCAAAATCAGGAACAATATATCTATTAAGTGAAGCTTTCAGAAATCACAATTATACAATTTTTTAGCAGAACATAATGGTGTGTGCAGAGAAATATTGTAGTCAGAGAGAACAAAGATCAGCAGGAAATTAATTAAAGCATTGCAACGAAGAAATAGAATATGAGCAAGGAAAATGGGGGACGGAAAATGAT